AAATTGAATTGAATTGAAAAATTGTACAACAGAAGATGGTCCTGAATAGTCTGCTTAAATATTCAGTTTGATAGCAGACAAACAGGTGAAAGGCAGAAATGGTATGGTTAGATTAGACTTCAAGCAGAATGATTTCCTAAAACTTAACAATGCAACAAATATAAAGACTAAAGAAAAACAAATAGAAGACATCCTTTGCAGATAGGTTTAAGGCTATGACATATTTTGATGATTACATCTTCACATTGTCCAGCATCTGCAGAAACATAAGAGACAGAGACAAACCACACTGCAGATACTGTTCTTTCATTCCAAAATGAAGAAATCTGGAGTGTGACCAGTGTGGTCTCATGCCTCATTTGTCTCAATAAATCCCTCAAAGAGAGAAAAGGGCTTGGCCATGACACTCATTATGAACTTTAAAACCACACTGTCACATATAAAAATGTCTAAAGAAGAGAATCTTAGTGTTTCAAGTAAAAAAAGGGGAGAGGTTGAGTTCAGATAGATACTACCTACAAGAGTTGAGTGAAAACATTCAAAAGTGAATTTTCAAAACAGGCCCAACAAGGGTGATTGAGGACAGAGCAGCATTCTTTATCATCACTGCTGGCGCGGTAACCACAGAAAGCTTCCTCCTGCCTGTTCCATGAAAGCGCTGTGCTGGAACAAGTCTGGCTATGCCAAGCCAAACATCCCATGCTGGTACCAGATGGGCCAAGGAATGTGCTTCACTCAATGGTAAAGGCAAAAGATATGGACTGAGGCAAAGAGAGGGAAGACAGGGGTACAACTAAAAAAAACAAACAAACAAACAAAAAAACGGGGTTGTGGCTGTCTGTCTATTTTACAACAACATGGTTCTGCACATAAGGAGTCTGGCTGCCGTATCACCCTGTAAAGTCTGATACAGAAGTGCTTGACATCGCCACAAAAACAGGCAGTATGCAATTAGAATTAGTGGCTGCTCTAGCCAGAGACAGCCAATAATCAGAGGGGATTTTGCCTTCTACGAGTGGAGATGCATGACTGATCAAATCTACAGTATCTGAAAGAAAATGTCATGTGATGAATTCTCAAGTTTACCCTTCATGTCCCTTAAATCTATTGCTGACAAATCAGTAAAAACTGATTCATGGTTGATGTCAGCTCTGCTAGCTAGTCTTATTTGTCAGGACTTTTGCTTACAAATTACTTTTGCAATGACATTTTGCTGGGGATCAGGGCTCTTGCCAGAATTTAAGATTGATATGATGTTGCTGTCTACAATATTTCAAAAGTGTGTTAACCCATGTTAGAATACTGCGTGCTAACAGCATAGGAATATTCACAGCAACAATATTTTGGAAGTGGTATGATGGTCTACAGTACAGTATGATGATGTGGCTGCAATGTTTAGTTCTTTTCAGGAAAGACCTGCAGATTCGGAGCTCAGATTGCAGCTTGATGTATGCAGAAAGGACCACGTCAAACTTGGACTGGGGCTTAAACTCTTGACTCATTTCCTTCCTGCAGTAGTCTGCAAAGCATGTTTTTGGCACTTGACAATTCAGAGACCTTTTTGCAGAGGAGACCAGTCTGTTTTAGAGTTCTTCTCCCCATACACGTCCTTCAGTGAGATGGTGTTCTGGTTGGGTCAGGGAGCGCTTGTGTTTGCTTTGGAGGTGGTCAGAGAGCCGTGGCATTCCTGCCTCTTCTCCCACACTGCGTAAAGAGCCTCTACACAGATGTTCTCCAAAAGTCAATGAGGCCCTGTGGTTCTGTGGTTCTTCAGTGTTTTTAAATGAAGCTCTTTCCTGACCTAGCTTGAATATTTTGAGAGTTTTAATTTCTCCCCTCTTTTGCTGATTCACAAGTGCTGTTTGATTTAGGAAATGACAGAGCCACAAGTCAATCTTCCCTTTCCTACCACAGAACTTAGGCCACCAGATGAATCTCTCACTCTTGCTTCAAGCTATTTCACTACAGGAATAGGAAATGAAAAATGTACTAAATTCTTTCTATGCATCACTTCTATCATTGCAATTCATTACAGTTATTTCCATCATCCACTGACACAATTACAATCAAATACATTCCAGTAATAGAATTATATAAAAAAGGAGGAAAAAGAAAAGAATAGGAAATAAATGTAAATGCACACACTGAACAGCGGTGTTTTATCCCATGATATAGAGCTGGCAGTAATTTTGGATACAATTCTGACGGTAACATTAATGACCAATGGATCATGGTACAACAATTTACTGTGAAATATGACTGAAAAAGAAAAAAGAAAAAAAAGGTAAGAAATATCAAGCATTAGCCACAGTTACCCTGGTTACTGAGAGCTCTGCAGGGGAAAACTGATAGGCGCTACAAACCAATGAAATCTGTTTGACTGCCTGATAAACTTTACTGCCAAGCAATTAAGAAAGGGACACTTAAGGAACATTTTGCCCTTATGGACCCCCAATTGCAAAGAAGAGAGCTGTATAAAGAGCAGACTCATGCATATTTGCCCACCACGTGTGATGCTGTAGAGATGTAGAGATGTTAACTTACCCCTGCCTACTCTATTCCACAAGCTTTACTTTGCCAACCAGAACAGGAATATTATCTCAGCAGCACCTTCATAGATTACAACATTTTGCTGCATTAAATACTCAAAAGACTATCACTACATTGAGCTTCATGTTAAATTTTTAAACTTGTAGCACAACTGCACATAATTCACATTTTTCTTTAAATGTTGATATTTTATTTATCTTCCACTCTGGCATTTTGACACATTCTCCATACTTCTGTGAGTGTTCTGCTCTTCTAAAGAAGACTTCTAAAGTTGTGTTAAAAAGTTAAGCAACAAAACATGGCTTTCAGTACAGGTGTTTTTTGTACACCAGATGTATAGAAACAGTCTAGTACAAATACTAGCAAAGCTGCATAAAGAAAAAAATATGAAAGTGTTCTTTTACTGTGATGTATCGTTAAGTTGTTTTTAAAGGTGAAGATGCTAGCTTGATATACAGATGTTTTTGCCAGAAAAAAGCAATATGAGCAAGAAGACACTAAGACATGACCATGTAGTCAAGGTGCAACTTCTACTTTTGAAAATAACCAATGGAGTGGCTGCAGACACAGTTGGGGGTGTATCCTGTGTACACTTCCACAAGTACTGTGAGTACCAAGTGATTGTTGTCTTCTGCTGTGTGTTCACAAACCGAGTCAGAACATTTAAAATCAGAAACACAGTTGTTAAGATGACACGTGGGACATATACTATATATATATATATCATTATGTAATCATACATAATACATACTACATACATACACACACATATACATATATATATAAATACACACATATACACACACACACACACACACACACACGTTTAAAGTACATTTGCTCAAGGAATGTTATACAGCTGTCAGTGTGTCTAACGTCTAACACTCTCTGCACTATAAAATATGAAATTAAAAACTAGTTCCTACATTTTGTCTTGGCAATATTCCCTACGCCATAGCATAAATACATATGTACATGCATTCCACAGAGCCTTTGCTTGACAGTTACATTAAAACCATGTCTGCACATGTCCTAGAAAAACTACCCTAAAATAGCTGAGTTTGACTGCCTACAAGCCTCAAGTAAATATGTAGGCTAAGAAGCAAACTGCCCAAGCAACAGAGCAATAGAAAATACGACACAGACAAAACAAGAAGATACAAGACAAGGAAATAAACTGAGTGAGAGTGCTATCAGCTAAAAAGCACAAACCGTGGTTTCAAAGCTAGTGACATACCTGCAAGCTCATTTGCTGGTCATAAAAAACCCTTTGCTCTGCTGTGAGCCACAGCTTACTGGTGTTGCAAATGTGAGTTTACCCTCCAGTACTTCCATAGCGGTAGAAACGGTAGCAGTAGAGGGGCAGGACAGCACCATAGCAGAGCTCCTTAGAAGGGCTGCCGGGCCACGGCACCGCCGCACATATTCCGGGAAAGCGTGTCATCAGGCCGCTTAAGCCGCCCAAAGAATTGTCCATCTCACATGCACGCACTAATCTATGCAGGGTCACTCAAGGTAATCCCTGCCGAGCACTCCTCTTTGATTGGCACTCACAGCAGCACAGTGAGTTTTTTGGGCCTGTCAGATGGCTGGGCTGTACCAACTCATCTCTTTCAGAGAGGGGTGGATTTCTCTGTGTCTCTCTCAGAGGAACAGAAGAAAGAGGAAATGGAAAATGAAAAAAAAAAACAACAGCACACATTCAGCGGATAGGCTGCCAGCGCTGACTCTGTCTCGCTGAAGGTTTTTTCACTCAGTTTCACTCACTCGCCCTACATTCCACTGCTCTTGCTTTTGCTCACTCTGTCCTCTTCCTTCCCTCTCTAATGACTCACTCTACTCACTCAAACTGCAGTTGTTAAGTCACACCAGTAGCTTGGAAATCCACTGCATCCTGATGTGCATTACTCCTAATTCTCAGCAACCACAAGATAGTTTGAAAAAAGCACTGGAACCATTTCAGCAACTGACCTGAATCAAGACGATGATAGAGACCATACACACTTAAAAATATACCAAAAATATATGTTTTCATGTATTCAAATCCCCCCAAGTGTAAAAACAATATTGTAGGAAGACAGAGATAGCATTTCCTCAATCCACTCTTATAAGCTCACAAGCTGTCAAAACAAAAATACATTTTCTCTCTCTGTGTCACAGAAATGGACAAGTCCTCTCTCCTGGTGGGTCCATACTATGAATACTATAAATTAACAGGCCAACTAGAGGTGAATTAAACATGTAGTAATTGTACCAGTCACTTATTGAAGTAAGAAGAACCATCTTTGTGTTCAAGATGTAAACATGAACTCTTGCACCCTCCAACTCCTCCTATGTACAGAAACAGTCTACAATCAACCCACTGTGTTACACAGCAGATGTACTCGACACAGCGACAGAATGTCCTGTACAAGAACTGTGGCATCAGTGAAGTAGGGAAAAGCCCACTAAGGAGAAACCATCCACCAGAATGAGTGGAATTAATATTTAATGCCACTAGGGTTGCAAGAAGGTGCATCTTTTTGGTGGTGCGCGACACAAATTACATAAAGCTCTGAACTGAATCTGTGCACAACATCATATCCCTACATTTGTCCCTTTGTAGCTTTCACTTTGGCATCTACAAAGATGACATTCCAGCTTTGACAGTGATTGCATACTTATGCTTTAAAGAAAGAGGCAGATCCAGTGTCTCTATGCTTGATACTGCGACAAATAGATCTTCATGGAGCCACAAGCAGCAGAGACAGCAATAGGATCAAGCAGATGGTCACGTCTCAAAATGTATCCAACTTCTTTTAATTATTATAAAAATATGAATTTATGTGACTTTTCTGCATCATTTGGCTTTTGATTTTTGTGAAACTGTGTTGTGACAGTGCTGTAGGGGCTTGTGTATGCTCCTTTTTCTTTTACATTTGTTGTATTACTACATATTTAATAATTAAAAAGAAAGAAAATCCTATTGCCACAATACACACACGTTTACATAATTTGCCAATTGGGAGTGTGTGTATGTGTTTCCATATGTTCTGACTGTTACCCTAGCCTGACCTTTTGTCTCCACTGTGTAATCTCAGTCTATAGGATCAGAACACAGTAAATAGTGTTTTCCCATACCTTATCTCTCTCTCTCTCTCCTTCTCACACACACCACCACACACACACACACACACACACCAAGGCATTTTGAGGATACAACATTGTTAGATAGTTAACTACTGTTACAGTCCACCAGTGCAAACACAATTTATTCATTATTAATGTACGACATCCAGAGCTAAGCGGCCCTATGACCTCACTGCACAAGTTGCATAGGGCCCCACAATGTTTACAACTTCAATGAGAAGGAATGCAATGGGAGACCTATTCTTCTAGTCACGAAAAGAGAGATAAAAAAAAAAAACACCATGAGAGTGAACAGCGAGAACAGCAATCCGGTCTGTCTGTCTTGCTAAAAGCTGGGCAGTGCATCTTTTAGTCTGTCTATATCTTACTTGCGGGCCAGCCACTTCCAGGGCTGCGTTCTGTGACTTTGCGCCTGAGAAAAGTGAGAATTAAATAGAACTATTTATTACATTTGATAAATGCTAGCAGGCAATGGTCTTTCTAAATTTGCTGCTAGTTTATCCTCTATAAAAAGTGTGGCCTCTGCAGGTCATCAGGCTCAGCTGTACATTGGCAGACTTGGTTCAACTTTCATCGGGCTCGAGACTTGAGACTTTCATGAGACATTTTCATTATACCTGAACATATTTTCCAGAATGTGTGCAAATTTGTATAATTACATACTCTTATTTAATCTTTATTTGACTGTATTTGAAAGTATACATATTATATCTTTTACAGATAACGCTGCAAACAAGTCATATCACAATAATCCAAGGGTTGCTTTCTCAGGATTAAAGAAAAAGTGGGGAGCGCACACTCTACTTCCTGTTTTGCTCTGACCCATTAATAGCACCAGCAATGTAGGGACCAAATACATGGCACCTTATACTAGAGAGAGGTGTGGCACATATCTGTGACATACAGTGTGATATATGTGGTAGACAAGCTGTATATCTTGCACACACAAAATGAGCCGTCAATCTGACGAGGAGACATTAAAGATGAAGCAGGCGAGGCAAACGAGTCAGACAAACCCAATGCTGCCAACTCAGCATGTGAAACAATCACACCTTACAGCCACCTGACAGAGTTAGAAACACAGTTGAAGCACTGCTCTTCTTAATTTAAACTCAAATTGAACTTATGAGTCTTCATCTTTAATGGTCCGAAGACAAAGAAGGAATCAGCAGCTTGTTAACCACAGTGGGAACAAACAGATACTTAATAAAGTCTCAGGTTTACCTGGTTCCTTCCTCTCCGTCTTCCATAGTTTCGCCTCACCAGCGTCTTGTAGTTGTGGTTCTTTTTGGTCAAGTAGTAGTAAAGGACACAGTCAGCAACACACTGAAACAAGAAATGACACGTTATTATGAACACAAAATGCAAAAGTTGGAGTGGATATGTGTGTACAATGGATGAAAGATTATGTGATCCCACAAAATGCAGAGTTTTTAATATTTCTGTTCAACAAAACAACACTTCTCTATCTTGTACACAAAAGACCAGGACTCATTGTTGTTAAGGGTCTTAAAACAAATGCTTAAATAATCACTGCATTACATCCTGTAGGACTCAATTACAACATTGTAATTTCAAGTTTAATTTCAATAGTCTCTTGTGTTTTTGACTTTGCTGTCTGACTGTCCTGTTATTTATTATAAATGTATAAAGTACAAGCAGTAGTTTACCTTTCTCTCTAGATAAGAGGCAATCAGGCCAAAGTTCTTGGGGTGTTGGACAAACCTGGAAAGAGATGCCAGTCATTATTCATGTGCAAAAACCAAGAATATATAATATAAATAAATAAATAATAAATATATATATATATAAGTATATATAATATATATAAGTCCAAGGTGGCACTGAGGTCTATAAATCACATCTGCATGGGAGACTTACAGGGACACACGGTGACCCAGACATCTTGTGACAACAACAAAACAAAAACAACTCACTTTTCCTTAAATATCTCCTTTTCGTGTTCGGTCCAAACATTCATGAACTGCCGGGCTTTGTACACCTTCATTGGGTCATCCATCAGGCCGTTCATGTTGATAAACTTCACTCGCCTCTGCTCAGAGTCGTACATCATGGGAGGGATGACTGACAGCTGTCTCATCTGTTTCTCGTTGTTCTGTGGAAAGAAGACAGGGTAAGTGGTCACAGTTATTTAATTACAGAACACTCTCCCTTGTTTAATAAACCCTCTTTCTGCTCCTTGCCTTTGTGTCTTATGTAGATTATATGTAGGACGGTGTAGTTAAGTAAAATGCGACAGATCTCTTCCTCTTAAAAAAAAAAAAAAGAAACACATATATTTGGACTGTTGTCACCTAGCTATGTAGTTTCAACACCTACACTGTAATATATTTAAAATGCACTCCAAATAGTACCCACCTCCTGCTCAGAAAGGCCATCTATGATTTCAGAAATCTCATGCTCGCTTCTTGCAATTGTTGCAGACAGGCCTGTCCCTCTTTGTCCAACCCTGTAGAAAATAAACAGACATGGTGTGTTACAAATGTTACACATTTATTTCAAATATGCCGGTAAACTTGTCTGCCATGTAAAGAGAAAATACGTTAGGTTGCATTATTTTCAGAAAACACACATACAGCTCGCTGGGATAAGAGACACATATTGTGACATTCTGCCTAATATATACATACCACTGACGGTGCCATGCATAACCAGATATATGTTAGTTGTTATCTTGCACTTCACCTGTCAGGTCAGTAAGTTATGGATGATCGGTGTATCTTGGCAAACTAGAAAGTGGACAAGTCATTTAACGTAATGTGACACAAATCAACAAGCTAAATTTGTGTGGCTCAGTCCGATCCACTTTTGTTGTTTCCTATGTACAGAGCCAGCGCTGTGACACACCGAGCAGAAAGCTAGCAGACTATGAGAAGATATTTTCTGAATTTAACAGAAAGTGTACTGGATTAGAATCGCATTCCTTAGAATAGTTTACACCACCTTTAATCTCCTTCCACCAGCCAATTATGTGTCTGTATTAGAGCTTCTACAATTACTCAATTAACTGAAATTTAATATGCAACCATTTTCATAAGTGATTCATTTCTCAAGTAATATCTTGTTTAGAACTGTTGGTAAATAAAATTGGGCATTTTCAATATGTGAATTTGGGCTCACAGAAATGGCTATGAGCATTTTGATCCCCATTTCATAACCAGTCACTGGTAGAGACCATTACCTCTGGAAGCGCTCCTGTTGCTCTCTTTGCTTGCGGATCTCAGGGAACTGCCTTTCATAGTACTCCCGTGTCCTGCTCTCCTTAGCTTTGCGTCTGGGGTTGTTCTCCATTCGCTCCACCTTCTTCTCCCACGCTTCCATCAGCTGGTCATAGCGCTGGCAGATCTTCTGTTCCTGTGTACACAGCATGGAAAATGCTACATCAGGAGTGGGCGTCCATCACTACAGTAATGCCAAAAGAACTTAATGCCAATGCAATGAGCCAGAAGATCCACATGGAATACATATATCAGATATTATGAGGGAGCTGATATTTTCACATTTCCAAATAACATCTACACTGTATTCTTAAACCACTGACTGAATGCAAATTAACAGCACATTGAGATCTTCTGTTGCTATGCAACTCCAGGATAGGTTATTTAAAATAAAAAACTCTCATACATAGTGTCCTGATCCCAAATGAGCACAGTTCAGATACAACATGTGCAATGGTCAAGAAATTCTCAGTTTTCTGATGAAGCAACAGATAGAGCTCAGTGTGCAGTAGATGTGATCTGTTGCTAGGTCGCTGTGTGGAAGAGAAAAAGAAGATAATGGAATGGAATAATGGAAACAGAATAACTCAAATCTAACCATCAGACTACCTAGCTGAACATGAAAAGTATCACTTCATGCTTAATTTTGTAAATTTGTACACCTCTCAGTAAAATCAGTGTGGCAATTTATCTTTAAAAGAAGAACATGAAAACAAATGTAAATCCATTTGCAGACGTTCTGCAGAAACTAAGTGAGAGCAGAGTTAATGTTGCCTAATTCTGTGTCCTGATCCAGGCACAGTTTGTTCTGATGCAACTAGCCTACTTAAAAATAGCTTATTATCAATTATCAGCTCAATATGTATTTATTCAGATTTATTTACAATTGGTCTGGTAAATTATATTTCTAGAGGAGAAATGGCAAAAACTATCTGGTTTTTATTGGAAAAATCAACATTTACTGCACCAAAAACCAAACTAATTTCCTGGGGTGTAAGAGTTCAAATGTTGAGTGAAGATATGGAAAGACTCCTGTACTGGGAGGACAATACAGCCTAATTTCCACTCTGCAGCGAGCAACAAACAATTCACCTTCCTCTCGGCATGAGGCCATGTGCACTCTGCCATTGTCCAAAAGGTTTGTCTGACCCTGACATGGAACAGCCAGAGAAAAGTAGGACTCACTGAGCTATTGCAATAAAAAGAAAGAGCCAAGTGTTTCAACATGAGGTGATTCTGAAATATGTAAATCACTGGTTACTGATAAGAAAGACAGAGACGGTTGTTTGGCCAGCGTATTTCCCAGATCTGTTCTTTGATGTGACAATATTTATTATTATACTGCACATTAAAGCTGTTCTTGGCCCACACAATACTTTTCAACAAACAGGGGAAATCAGGGCGTTTCCTGTACTGTAAATACATCAGTGCATTATTTTTATTAGCCATGCTAGCAACGTGGCTTTAGGGATGGCAGTGTCGGTCAGTCAGTTCACCACTTTGGCTAAGATTGAAATATCTCCTAACTCTTGGATGGATTACCATTAAATTTTGTCTATATTAATAGTCCCCAGAGAATAGCTGACTGACTTTGTTGATTTGGTAACTGTCCCTACAGTACCAGCATTAAGTTGACATTTGTGATTTTTAATGAAATAGCTTAACAAAAAGTAAACATAAGTATGCAGTACTAGTGGTTCAATTTCTAATGGGTAATAATAAAACTGTGTCGTCTTTGAGCATCTAAGACTCAAACTGTCTCATGTCTGCCTTCTGCATTTTAAGCAAGCAAAAATATTAATGTTAACATAAAACAGGGAAGATCCCATGTATCAAAAGCTTTAACGTTCCCAATAATATTTCCCTGGTCATCTGAGTGCAAGTGACTGTTACACTGACTATGGAAATGGGTGGCGCCACTAATGTGGTGTCCAGAGCACTGACACAAATACCTGGAACTTCCACCATGCTTTCCTAACAGCGGGGACACTTACCCTTTGTTTACGAGCGTGATTCCTCCTCTTGAAAAACAAAATCAGCTTCTTCCTCATGACTTGATTGCTAAAAGAGAACAGCCATTATTCAGTGACATTAAAATATTAATATGTTCAATGGCAAAATGATTGTGGCACTCACACATTAAAAAGTTGCACAGCACATTAAAAAAAACGTAATGCCCTACTTGCTTGTTAGCTCGTTCAAGTGTACATTTGCAATAGTTCTTTGAGTGACAGAGCTTGATATATCTTCCAACCCCCCTATCAACGGACATATCATTGTTTATTTTTACTGTGGTACGTACAAAATACTGGGAACTCTTCTGACACTTGATTGTGTCTGTGGGGAGAGAATAGTGAGAGCTGACCCTGAGAGTGTGGCCTGTAGCGCAGATTCACACAGAGGTGGTCCTGATAAAGGAATGAGCCAGATGGGCTGCTTTCATGGTAGACAGTAGACACTGATAGGAGTTTGTTCCTAGACAGTCTGGCCTTCAACCCCCGACACATCTCTGCTTTAAACACACCTAACGCAGACACAAGTTCTTTCACTTCCTTTCTCAATCACTCTCCTTGGTGTCAGTAGGGCAACTCAAACGGATGACTCAGCAATCAGATTAGACAGAATTATCAGCTGGGTTTATCTTGCTAAGGTCAGTATTACCTGCAACACTTTGCAACAGCTGACATGGTTCCTATCCTGTTAGTCTGATAAGCATCATGTCTGCTACAATGTTCTTGCACTGTGCCAGCTGACAGATGTTTATGAAATTAATCTATGGAACAAATGTAGATACTCACGTCTTGATGTTGTCATGGTAGACCTTTGTGTCTGATGGCTGGTTGTACAGGGGCTAAGAAGGGAGAAAGCAGACCAGGAATAGGCAGTGGATTAATTATTAGCTACTAGGCAAGCAGTAATATCTAACTTGCCACTGAGCTAAGCATTACCTCTTCCTCAAAGCTTATGCAAGAGCAAAAAATATTAAACTATTAAAAGACATACCAGCTCAACCTTAGGACCAAGACCTTCCAGTATTTTATGGGCCTCTTCAGCTTTTTTCTAGAAAAAAAAGAACAAGAGTTCATATCTTAATTAGAATGTCTACAAAAAATAAAGAGAAACAGCAAGTTGAGCATTTCACCTAGAAAAACTTCCCATCAGGTGTTTAATACTATGTGTGGGTTATACATGGGCTATTGTTTGTGGCTACAGCATGGAAACTAGCTAAACGTGGCAATAAATGTAACACTAAAACATCTGACCATTTTAAGAGACTTTTTTTGTTTTTTTTGTTTATTAAGTTACTGATTGAAGGTGTGATCTGTAGACAACAATTCAGAAAACCATAAACTTCAATAATAACCGTAAGTCCTGAATAAGGGCACAGGCATTCATGCACAAATTAGCATCTTCTCTTCGCATGGAGTTCAACTTTGACTTTGACCAGCAAAGTATCTGCCTCAACCAAAAGCAAAGAGAAGTGTGTGGTTGACCATGCGCATTCGCCTCAGCAGGCATATTTGTGCCGTGCCCTAAAGACATTTTTAGATGCATTTAATTTGCTCTTTAAGTATATTTAAGCAGCTGCACCTGCCTGAAAGGGGAGATACACAATATAAGAGAAAAAGAGAAATAAAAAATAAAGGAAAGAATGTTCCCCTGCAGTATAATCAATAGGGTTAGCAACAACAGTTTTCCTGGATCAGTGCAGACTGTCAGCTAACTGTGCACTGGAGCAGCTTTGCGGCCTAAAGGGTTAATGGCTGACTGAGAAGGAAGGCGTGTCTCAGCACTCTCCTACCACAACATTGTCTGACAGACATGAACTACAGTGACCTCCACAAAGACACACTCACTTCCCTATTGTTCAGCTGGAACACAGATAATGAGGCCTGCCTCTGCCCTTGACTTTGGATTTAATGCACTGTATTCTTAATTCATTAAAAAAATAAACATAAATAAATTTAGAAATATGACAAAATTACCATGCAGTACAAACATTACTTTCTAACCCTACAAAACCACGAGACATTCCACCGTATTCCAACAGCAGACACGCTTGAATATTATTTCAGAAAATTAAAACATTGCTATGCCAAATTCAGTTTTTTTTGACAGGGGTGGGGATACTTGAACATTCCAGCCATATCTTGCCAAGAACCGTACCGTGAAGACGTTCTGCTAACTCTGACAAAAACATTGCATTTCCCATAGCTGCTCCACTATAAAAGCTTCTCACTGGTTTTGCCAGCAGACCACTCAAAAAAGCAGCTGCAGCAGCAAGAAACATTCAGTTTGCATCAGTAGTAACTTAACACAGCTCAGATATGGCAGAAAGCCGTCAGTAAAGAGTAAAATAAGGCTGATATTTGAATGTACGAGGAGGCACGTAACAGTGAACCTAAACTCCAAACCAGAGATTCTGTTAGAAACTACAAAAGTACTGAGAGCGAAACACAGACACATATAAAGACACATCGGTTTAGCTTCCTTTAAGTAACCCCTGTCACTGGTTGGCTGTGGTTGCCATGGTTATGCGCTGGAAATGCATGTGTTCTCAGCTTAGCTAGGCTTCACACAATCTAAGCGGGTTAACTTGGCCTGTTGAAAAAACAAAGGTAACTTCTTCTAGCTTTGAGGATGCACAGAGATGATAGATAAAATAGCTGAAATTGTTTAGAAACAAACAAAATGACTAAGCAGATCCGATGCTTGTTGTTGCTGTGCTTGGTGTTTGCAGCAGACGACTAACCCTGTTCTCGTCGTAGATGATCTGGACTATGCTGCGGTGCTTGTGCTCCACTGGGGGAGGCGTCACTGGCTTTTCTGGCTCCACTGGCTTTGCCGCTTCTTCCTCCAGTTGTTGCTAAGAGACAACACCAACACAAAACATTATGACCAATAGCAAACACAAAACACATACAGAAAATACATGACCCTAAACACATGACATGAACTAAACATTTTGTATGGTTTTATCTGTATTTGTTTTCATATGAAATACATGGTGGAAAACACAGACGCATGCACGCCCATGCAGGCATTATCAGATGATTCTCTTCTCAGGCTTGTTCAAGTATAACTTTTTTTTAACAGAACTGAAGGGGTCTGCCTTTGAGGCCAATGCTGATGCTGGCAGACAAGCTGAACTGGTGAGTGTTTGGTAGGTCAATGTTTACAAGTTAAAGGTTATGTAAACTACCAGGTTACAGGGACAAGATTATGAGTTCCTGAAATACCTCAAATAAACAAATAAATCCCTGACAATCTTGGGAAATACACAAACTGAAAATCTGAGAAGAATTCTCTCCCAGAAAAGCTCAGCTTACATTCCTATCTAATGAGACGGAATTCCAAAAAAGACAGCAGGAGGAAAAAGGGCCACAAACAAGATTAAAAACAAGCTAATCAAGATAGATGAAAAAAATAAGCCTGTAGTTTTAGAAATTCAGTTTTTGAATTTTCTTATTAAGAAAAGAAATACAGTAGATGATATAGAAGCATCTTATAGCTCAGGTGAATTGCCTCAGACACTGTTGGTGCAGACGATTGCAACCTAGAGCGCTGTGCGCTGATTAAAACTCCACACCAAGAAGAACAGCAAGCCTGCAGGGATTAGCAGGAGCCTCCTCACTAACACTGAGCAGAGCCTGCTAACATTAACTCCAGAGACAGTGAACACCAAGTCTCTCAAGGAGGGAAAGAGGTCTGCTGGAAAACAATCAAAGCTAGATTTTGCCCCAGCTACAAATTAATGACTGAGATGACAACAACTTGTTACATTTGTCACTTCAACTGAACATTTCAGTCTCTTATTATCTTATTCCCTTTACAATACTACTATTTAAATTGTGGCTGGATTTAACTGTCAATAAATAAACTATTAAAATCACAACAGATACCTGAACACATCCATGGCAATATGCAAGTAAAATCCCTCCCTTCAGATACAGCCATGTCAAACCTGTTCTTTCAACTTCAAGACCTTTACAACTTCTGCTTTTGTGGTGTACAACAACTCCTCATTGCTGCTCTAAAATTACCATCACTTCAGCCTCTCGTGGGTTTGCTTAATTATAATAGCAAGTGAAATTGTTTCTTGTGCCAAGTTTTCTTACACAACATCCATTGTGTTTGATACATGTTCAGAGACAAAGGTTTGACTAAATAACTAACCTGCTTTTTCTTCAGCTTGAAAATCTGCTGCTCCACTTTAGCAATCTCTCTGTCTACACGGTCCATACTCTGGATCAGCTCCTCCTTGGATAGTTTGGAAGGAGAAGTGTCCTGCTCATCTCCCATGTGTAGCGTAGGTCCACCAGAGGACGGGGACTCCACTTTGACGGTGTACTGAGACTCCTGATGAAAACAAAAAGGTTCATTCAGTTTGTTAAAAACTATAGATGTGTACAAGATCTGTACAAAAGAATGATTTTGTCCGGTCCAAGCAAACATTTTCTGCAAAACGTCAAAAAACCCCAGTAAGGCGGTTTCATAAAAGGTCCTACATTTTGGTGGAGGATTTCCAAATAGTATACAACACATACATTATAAATCATAGAGAAGTCAAAAGATATTTTTCATTATGGGGAGAGGGCTATAAAAGTTCACAAGTACTGTCATCCATGGTGTAGTAGTTGAATAGTACACAGTCAGTGTCACCTCACTTAGTTTGTAGTCAAACTAGAATTAGTGTGGTGTCTCCGTCAACCAGTCAAGCTGCAGTTTACCACTTAGAAGGAACTAAATAAAACAGTGTATTTGTTGGCTAAATGGAGGTTTTCACTATATTGATGATACATATGTATAATTCCAGTGAATATTTATAATACATGTACTTGATTATAATATAAAGCTGGATTCTTATATAGAGTTTAGCTATACAAAAACTGGTGCTTTTGTTTTCTCCATTTTTAGATGCTACGGCTCTACGGTGAAACTCACTCACAGGATCATGATTAGCTAGGCATGTTCTAATACGTTGTTTGCAGTCACATGATTTTGATGATGCTCGAAATTCAGAACAAGGCAATAAATAAAAGGCAGAATGGATTAGAGGGAAAGATAAAAGCCAGTCATTGTTTACTCATTGTGCCATCTCAGTCGACACGTGTGAAATCTAGAATTGCCCAGTTCATTCTTAAACTATGGCTAAAAACCTATTTTATTAAAGTCACAATGACCTTTGACCTTTGTGTCAAAACCAATTCAGAGCCCGCCCAACTGTGAAATATGGGCACAATCTCCCCTTCTGTTCCCAAGTTATGAATTGAAGTTGCCCTTTGACTTGTGGGTTAAACTTAACATTGTTGAGTCCCATTAAACATCCGTGTGACATTTTGTCATAATTACAGCATCAATTCCTGAGTAATGGGCAAAAACCGGTTTTGTTCGGTCACAATAACCTTGACCTTTTACCATCAAATTCTAATCAGTTCATCCTTGAGTCCAAGTGGGTGTTTGTGCTAAATTTAAAAGACTTTCATTAAATGTCACGCTCACAAGCATGGCCCAGACAGACATACGGAAGGAAGAAAGGCCTTACGGACAGCCTGAAAGTCTAATGCCTCTCGCCACAGCTGTCGCCAGCATGATGGCATAAAGAGGACAAAATCAACTGAAACCAAATGTGAAACCAAAAGAAAGAGGAGGAACAAGGCCCACCTTTTTTACCTCCACAGTTGCTCTCAGACTGTCCTGTACTGAATGGGTTAAGGGCAGGACAATACCCCCAGCTGTGGGAGGGGTGCGGGTGATGTGGGACTCCGCAACAGTCTCCATGCGAGGGCGTTTAGACTCCAAGGCCTCATGCTCAGACTGAGCTGAGATGGAGTGAAACTGCTGTTCGTAACCATGGCGTCTCTCTGGAGGCCTGAAGAAAAGAAGTAAACAAGAAATTTACAGACACATCAGAAGCTACATCCGGTTGTCGAGACGTATGATCTGGGAACAGCATCCCTGAGGGAGCGAGAAAGGAAAAACAACTCTGCATTACAGACCCTAATATTAAAAGAATTTAAAAACTCCCACTCTGGATGTCCTGATGAGTGTGCACTTATCCTTTGTCAGATATTTAGGCAGTAGGATGGAGTGAAGCCCTTACCTTTCAGTTCCAGGGTGGAATTCAGACAGTAAGGATGGTCTTCTCCGACCCTGAGGATCTTGCATGTGAGTCCGATAGTCTGGGACGGTGAAATCCTGAAGGCAAGACGTACACACCACACAAAACTTTAAAAAGCGATCTGATCAAGGTCAAGGGGGGTGGGGCGTGTCAGAAAACAAAAGAAAAAACAACCACATCATGGTTACCTGGTACACCTATAACAATGCACTTCACAGATGCCAATAGAGAGGCAAAGTCCTACACCGTCATTTTTAACGTCAAATCCCTTTCCCCTCAACTTGCACAAGTAACTACACTGATTGTGTATTGGGCTATGTTAAAAGCTGTCTAAGGGGTGTCCTGGTGGCCTACGGGTTTAAGGCACTGACAATTTAATTGCAACATTGCCAGTTCAAGTCCGGCCAGGGATCTTTTCATCGTTTCATGTCACCCTCCATCTCACCCACCCCATTTCCTGTAAGCTCTATGCTCTACTCAATCTGATTAAGGCAGAATTCCTAATGAACTCAGTGGGCATTTTATGAAGCTCTAAGTATAAGACAGACACAATGTCAGCATTTGAATGTCTAATTGTTAAATGTTAAAAACAAATCAACTGTTATCAACTTATGTCACTCTGTCACTAAAATAACAAGGTGCACACATTTATTAGCAGGTACAGGAGGAGAGGCTCATGTAGCTTCAAAACAGAATACCACAATATCAGAAGGATGAAAGAATTTAAAAAAAAAAAACACGTGTGGAACCAGCGCTTGCCCGGAAGTGAACCAAGACTTCCCCCCTCTTTAAAAACCAGTCAGTGCACAGTGAAATTATTGAACCAGTATCACTGCTGTTATCTGGCACAACAAAATGGATTTTGTCAATGTCAAGAAACTTGATTCAAAGCTTTTTAATACTCCAAAGCTTTTATCAAAAAGCTATTGGGTAAAGAACACACAAATGTTATCATCACAGTGTGACCTCCAAACAAACCTGAACAAGCAAATGCAGTTACAGGAAAACTCCAGTTTTTCCCCAGATTTAAGCAAACAATCCAAATCCCCAGAAATGTACTGCTGACAGTTTTCTGTGAAAGTAAGCTTCTAAGAAGTATGATAAAATAGCTAACAAACATTATCCAATATTCACAACAGTCAAATTAACATGCAACAGTAAAGTGGGATACAATTAAATACTATAAAACTTTATAGAGCTGCATAATTATGACTGAACTGAAAATCCAAAATATTGTATCACACTTATAAGCATTAGTATTTCATTTATTTAATTACATTTTAATTTAACATTAAACTAAGTAAGTCATAAAAATACATTTCCCTTAGAGGTTGTCTACGCAGGAAAATGGCTGTTACAGCTGCAGCAGAGTTTGGGCTGAAGCCACATCAAATATGGCAAGGTAGGCGGCGCCACCACCTCTAGCTCTTTTCCTGTATGAAGCGGGAAATCAGCGGGTACACCCAAAAGGCCTTGTTTCACAAATATCTCACTTCTGTCGAGATTGCCCCACAACACATTAATAGATTTAGTAAATAAACTATTGTTAGTCCCCTTAGCTTCAAATTTTACTTGCAATCCTGAACTTGAATTTAAAGTCTGAACCCAACTCACTCACAGCACACACATTCCTTAGCTAGAACCTAACATCCCTTTTGGTCCGTCTCACCAGAGCCCCAAATCACCAAGAAGAATCATCCTTCTTATTTCAAATGCTAGCCGGCCTCTTGCTTGCCACACATGAGCCTGTTGAATGACTTAGCAGACCATTTATGAAAGTAAAAGTAAAAGTACTCCTCCAACGTGCAGCTCAGATTGTAAAAGAGAACATATATAGCAATGTCAAACATACTCCTTAAGTTTTAACTAAACAAAGCTGAAAAAAAAAAAAAGTCTGCTCAACCACAACAATGCAGAAGGAAGGTTTTACCTGTTGGTGGCGCGTGCCAGAGAAGGTGTACTGGACAGAATGTGGTGGGTACCGGCTCTGCTCGCTGCTGAAGCTCCCCTGGCTGGGGGGGTAGCCCGAGCTACTGGACATCTTGGCTCAGTGCTAGCGGGCTGCTGCTGCTTCACGGATTGGAGATGTTAGCTAGACCATGGTCGGAGACACAAACCACCTGCACAGAAACATCATAGATATTTTTGGTAATATTTTTTTTTTTGGGGGGACTTGAAACCATGGCCACTGCAGCAAGCCTGGGTACATGGGATTGCCCCAACTGATTTTTCAAAGTCACATTTCAGACATTAAGATGAATATATTGATGCCTGTTAAATATCTTTATGTGTGAGAAATAATCTAAAAATTGACTAAGATGAATTTATACCAAGTTAAATTGACAATATTAGATAGTATGGTCAAAAGATACTGCATTTTAAGAGACCTGCTGCTGCAACATCAGGCAAAAAGTGTAGAACTGGAGCCATCACTGGTGGTCTATTAAGCATATGATATGCTATCAAGTCAGTATGCATTACATTAACACTAAACACAAGAGGGAGCAACACCTTTTATTACTTTTCTCAAGTATTACTGTGTTTCCATGCAGGTGGGTAAAGGCCTAAAGCACTACCCTGCTGACATCACCTCCTGCTGTCAGTGCAGGTAAAATAAGGTTAGAATCAAATCCAAAATACACCACTCTAAGCTCTTACTTCACCTTGCAGGGGCGTTAATATAAGGCTTTAAAGCCAAAAGAGCAAGGATGCTCTTGGAACAAGTCATACATAAAAAACAACTTGCAGCTGCAGCTCTGGAAAGCACCAAAACAATATTTCTGTGGGCGGAAAGAACAGGGGCCTGTTCTTTAAAAACGGATGGCTGAGTTAACTTGATTTGATTATTGACCATTTGTTATTAGCCTGTATTTTTCCAAAATGCATGTGGAGCTGCTGTCACATTAGAAAGCTCAAACATGCAAAAAGCAGGCTTATTCTGAGTCAGCTGCATTATCAGAGCCAGACCTTTTCAAATTCCATCCGTATATCAAACATTCAGATCTTCTCCAACCGTACCCGAGTATTTTTAGTTGTCTTAAGGTAATCTTGCCTTAATCATGCTAAAATTGGAAGAAAAAACTTTATGACAATGAACATTTTGTAGATAGGTTCAGTATAAGCATATGAGCACATACGTTTTTCATAGAATCATTATATGTTAATAAACAATTTAGACAGCATTATGCTTATTCAAAAAAGTTGCATGTGAATGTAATTCTCATGAAAAAAGATTATTAATCTTTTTTTAATGAGAAAATGCACTGCAGGATGTTGAAGAATCACCAGCCAAGGTGCTGGTTTAGTGACATAATAGAAAATACAATTCAATCAAATAAAACTGATACAACAACAACAACAACAAAACAATGCAAATGTAATAATATGTACTTCCATGGTCAAATCGAGAAGTAGTTTAGCTTACGATGAGCTTGAACAAAAGTGAGCTTAATCATAACATTCTGATGATTCTACATGTAAATTCAAAACAATGAAAACATTTTCTGAATTATGAACACATTTTTTACACATGAAACATGACAGAGTCAGATCGATGTCAATGTCATTTCTTACAAACGATCTGTTGCCTATTAAAGGGATTGGTAGGGTGTGTCATTTCATAGTTAGAATATTTTTTTGATTGGAAAAATTCCTGTTTTTAATTAAGGTTTGCTCTGTAGCTTTGGAAAAAAGGTGCCATCTCTAAGCTTACATGTCATGCAAGTCAAATGTTTTAATGCATTTAAACAAACATAGGAGTTGGATGGAAGGTAGCACATAACCAAGTAGTTTATTTTAGCTCTTATCATGTTATAGCCTGGATCAAATTAAGCAATGTACAAAGAACAGGACCCAGGACACAGCCAGCAGCCGCGCAGCACCTTCTGATGAACTTCTGCAAATAAACCAACTTGAAAACATACGTGATATCTAAGTATTCTGCAGCTAGTTAGGATTATTTATGGGTATCAAAAACACGCTACTAAACACACACAGAAAATTCTCTGCATGTTTGTTTTCTTACAAATATTACTGGATTTATTTATTTTTTGGTCCTTTGTGTCATTCTTCACAGGGAGCCATCACAAGTCCGAGCTCTTTGGGGCTTTCTGTGTCTGAGATTTACAGCTTCACCACCATGCCAAGACATGATGCTAACTTCAGGTTTGGAAAAGCTACAATCATTGCCACCATAACCAGGGTGGGAAGCTGTTATTTTATTTTTTCAGTCCACAGGCCACAGAGTTTGGTGGGTCCCACATTTTTTTATCCACTTTCACATTTTCAGAACTGATACTAAAAATATCATCAGTGTCTTGACAAAGTCACTGATGAAAAAACTAACGTGTCGCAGTCGGAGCAGCTGGTAAATGTAACTGCTGTTTTTGTAACCTTGAACTAAAGATATATTTTATACTGAAAATGTTCTATTTCAATGAGATAACATTGTATTGTATCTTATTGTAAACAAAAAAGCAGTAACAAAGGTTGTGTCCTACGTCTTCTACACAAAGCCGACCGCAGACTGATCGTCAATATGGTTCTTAACTGTATATGAGGCTCTCATTTTCAGCAGCACCTTTTGGCTTTGAGCCAAAACTAAGGGAGAACAAATCAGCTCGAAGCAAACTGTTACAGCAAGGAGCAAATGAAACAACAAAAGAAAAAGAGCACGCAGCAGAACTTCAGCTGCCTCAAAATATTACAACCTCATTTTTTTTTGTTTTCCTTTTACTGTCCCATTTCTCTAAACTGATTTAACTTGTACCTACAGTCTCTACTACCCTGAGTTGAATTTGATCAATTACTTGTTCTACTGAAATTGATAACATTGCTGAATGAAATAAAATCTATGCTTAAAAATGTTGAACTTGAGTTGTACTCTGAGGTGATGACCAAATGTTTACCAGTATGACTGACAGTCAATGAAACAGGAAATCTTTCAAATGCAGTCTTGTTCCTTTGGAAATCGTCTGTAATGCTTGGAACAAAATTGTAAACACATAATTTGCTCCTCTGTGTTCCCAATAAAAGAAGGAACAAACAGCAGACCTCCTGGGTTCAAGCTCATGTCACAGCATCCTCCCTGCTTAGCAAGACATTAAATCCGTGAATCGTTTTTATTATTACTCAAAGCAAACTGAGGAAGCAGGATAATATGAATATGCTCACATCAGAATCAGCTGTTTGTGAGCTGACTATCCATAACATGTTTCTCAGATTGTATCCCTGCTGTTGTGATAACATGCAAAGAAATCCATGATGGGACTCATTTAATGGACCTTTTCAAAATACATACTGTCCCATCTCTTTTAACATGGAGCATGAATGTAGATAAAAGAAACTGTGGCTACAGTACATACTGGGTGTTCCCCTTCCTCTGTCGTCAACAGTCTTTAATTGTATTTTCCGACGTGGTTTAAGGCATGCAATTTCATGTTATAAAAATGAACGTTGCTTCTGGTCAGCGTACGTCGTTTCACGATGAAGAGCTTGATAAAGTTCATTTCAGAAAGCCTTTACAGTGGTCTCTCTGATGATTTCTATGCGACCCCAGCAGCCATGACGAACTTCGTGGCCCCATGCACAGCCCAGCAGTGGGAAATACTGCTGCTGTGTGTTGTTATTGTTGTCTTTTAACACCATACTGTCATATAAACGCAATTGGATTTGTAGCTTATCTTGGGGGATGGGTCTATTTCCACAACAGAGAGCTTTTCCGGAAATGCACCAAAAACATGCACAATAATAAACGTCAACTTCAAAGTGTATGCTACGTTAACACCTGAGTGTGGTAACACGGCGTTTAAGATGTTGTTGTTGTCGCTAGCTAGCTAACTTAGCCTGTATTTCACCTTTGAATTCTCAACCACGTCGCCATCTTGCAAGGCAGATTTTCAGCGTAGACCGGGGCGCTTAAATAGCGTGCTAATTAGACATGTTGCTTTTATGCATGTTAGCGATTTGTACTCACCTCATATTTAGAAAATATACCGATGGGAGAGAAAGGTATCCCTGGGCAGAATTATGTGTCAATTGTTGATTGTAAATCCGCGGGTTATGAGCTGTGGACGACTAGGCAGACTGAAGGCTGCGCCGCATTTGTCGGTCGATGTCCTGACAGGGTAAAATAAACTGTCCCTACTCGGTTGAATACACAGAGTATTCTTACTCCTCAATAAATGTGTATGTACAGAGAAAACTATAATCTCCAGAGTGTAAAAGTAATCGGCTATTATATGAATCTTTTGATAAATACTTTTAAAAAATGAGTTTGGATTTTTATATACCTGCAAGGATGAGGCAGTGTGACAGCTAAATAGTCCCTCCAACAGGGTAATGGTCCTGGTGTTTGTCGTTTTCACTTTTTAGATACACACATTTCGCCTGATTTATAGAACTTTATTACACATTTTCCAGGTCATCTTTATTCAGATATGCCAGAAAATTACTCTGTATCGTATTTATATTTTTGTTCTCCTAATTTGTTGATTTAAACTCAAATAAACGAAGAAAGCAACAGGGACTCCAAGTGAATAAAATACATTATTGTGTGACTAAAAGTGGGCAGCTATTGCTTTGTTTGACTTGATGTGATACGTATTGCACCCTCTGAAGAATGGGTAACGTTAAATATCTCAGACAGACTGCATAATGTGTTTTTTTTACACGTGGAACCATTTGCATGTTAGACTTTTGTCCCTACACGGATTGTTTACGGTAACGGTCAAAATAATGAGTGTTTACCTGGCTGTCTTCATAGTTTTATCCTATTTGATTTGGATAAAATGCCTTTACTATCGACATCGGCGAACTTTAGTGAAGTCGCTGAAACGTGTCCTGAACGTTTCGTCGAGCAGAGACGCAGACTGCGCAGATATCAGAGCTCTGGTTGTTACTGCGCATCCGGATGATGAATGTATGTTCTTCGCGCCAACAGTCATACGACTCGTTCAGTTAAACGCCAGCGTTCATTTGCTGTGTTTGTCTGAAGGTACGGTGACAGCACTCTATTGTTTGCATATATAATGGTAGTAAGTCAGTGCAAAGTTAGAGAGAAAGATGAATGTCGGCTTGAATACATGAAAGTGAAACAGCAGCTCTCACAAAACAGTGCCATGGCTTTGTCAGCCATTGAGCAAAGCATCACATATATAGCACAGTGTCTGCATTATCAGTGTCAGGTTTAATGGTGTTTGCTATGGATAGAGCGACTGACTAAATAACTGACTGTATTATGCTGATAGATGCGGTGCCTTAAACTGCTTTTGATTAACCACGTTATTAATGAATTCATTAGTTTAAAATATTGTTGCTAATCTGACCAAAGAGAATCTTTTTTTGTGACTAAATCACTCTGCTGTTAACTGTTTTATGAGTTAAGAAAGTCAGTCTTGCTTTTTCCACTGGTGATTAGAAAGATGTCATAAGGCCAAGAGTTGTATTTGGATAAAATAGGAAAATCTAAGAAAGAAGGGTAAAGAAACACAATCAAATGATAAAAAAACACTTTGTGGTGTCCATCATCTTAGAACCCAAAATAATCAATGGTGACTTTGGTGAACTACAGGCAAGTATAAATGTAATCTTTAGAAAGGAAAAGCATCAACCTTTGTCACCGAACCCACTTAATTTCCAAAGGTGTTGTTGTTTGTAGTACTAATTTAAAAAATATGATTTTTTTTTCACATCTGTGCAGCACTTTATTCCATTTAGATCCAACTTAACTGATGTTTGAAGACTTATTACACAGCTAAAGAAAATATGATTTTTCAAAATAACTGATTTAGACCTGTATTTATATTTTCCGTTCATTATGATAATCTATAGCCTAAATTGTCCTCCAAATATACAGGAAACTACTACAAACAAGGAGCTCAGCGTAAACAAGAACTTCTCAACAGCTGTGCCGTGCTGGGGATACCAGAATCCAGAATCACCATAATAGACCATAAGTAAGCAACCGTCTGCACCAAATACACAACATGCAAATTGCAATGCAATGTGTTCGCACAAGAGTTTGCACTGTTGATTATTCAGATTTGTGTGTTAAACATGTTTGTTCACGTGCATTGCTCACTCTGAATATGATTTAATACTGAGGCTATTTGTTGGTTAAAAACATCACATAACAAAATGTACTTATGCCGCCTTCAGTTCAGGAGTCAGGTTCTCAGCATGTCTTTCTGTTGGAGCCCATCAGTCCCCTCCCCACCACCCAGTGTCTATCAGAACAAATAGAGAGTTGACCACAAATCACCCCCATCCATTCTCACTACAACAAAGCTGCCCTGATGTGTTACCTCTGGGTCACTGGGAAATAAATGAGATGACATGCGGCCTAAAATTCCTGATTATACGGCAGCTTTTAACAACAAAAAATATGATGCATGTTGCAATGTTTTTAGGCATTTTTGTGTAATGATATTACAGAACAAATTTAGCAAATTGTTAATATAGTTGTGATTAGTATTTTTTAATATTATATTATTATATTTTTAACAAAATAGCAAGGTTGCGCAGAATTCACAGGGATTGGTTGAATTTGCGTTACCTTTTGCGATCACAATTTCCTGGAGGGACTGATCAACCTGCTTGAGCAGTCACGATGGATTAATTAATAACAATGATTCCTAAGGGGAAATTGGATACATTTGGATGACTGAGGTATTAGTTGAATTATTATTCTTCACAACTAAATGAAAGTACAATATATTTTGGTGCAACACAAATACAGTCCTTCATTGATTAGAAGCCACTGAGCGAGGTAGTTTAGATTTGCTGAAAACAAGCCTGAGATGGTAATTTTGGGTTCCATACCAAAGTGTCTGTTTACGTTTTATTGGAGTTTCTTGTCTTGGCAATGTGTTAGCATATCCCAGAGGTAGAGGGTGAAATTAAGGGTGCTACTCTCTCCTGCCTGACGAGTTTCTTGTGGATTGAGAACAATTATTGGTTAAAAAATAGATGCACATTCCAGCTTTGTGACTGGAACATAACAGTTCAAAGAAAAAGAAGCCATGGACATTTTGGCGTTGTCGGCAGGATCACTCGTGTGACAGGACTTCGGACACTCATGGCTGAAGGTAAAGACTGTGCCTGGCTAGAGTCTGGGACTCTGACCTCAACCTCCCCTCCAAACTAGGGTAGAGAAGTGAGGGCCTGATGCCTGAGAACCGAAGCTCGCTCACCGCTGTGATCCAAAGAACCAGGTGGTCTAGACGACTCTGTCTTTCGGACTTTCACATACAAGAGTGTGTGACGGTCGCGTTGCAACCATTTATGGATGACTTGAATAAAACCTTAAAGAAAGACAAGATCATACTTTGTATGCTGTATTAAACAAATTGCCACCACAGTGGACAGACTTACATATGTCTAGTGGAGATAATAAAATATTTGTATTTTTGTCACCATGGAATGATATAAAGATGTATAGAAACAGCTATAGCTCTTTCCTTCATATCCATTGTCATTTCACATTTAAAGCTGTGAGAGAACTGGGAGCCAGAACTTCGAACTGCAAATTCTTGTGGAACACGCTCTTCTTCTGTTTTCTCCTATATTTTGTTGTTGATGCAGCTGTAAGACTCTCCAGGCTCTGGCTATTGGCAAGGTCAAGTTACAGAGAAAGCAGTGGTAAGAGGTGATGTAGAAAAGGAGGATTTTTTTTCCCCCTGTGGATCAATCCTGCAACTTCCCTTGAAAATGTTTTGAGTTTCTAAGAACCGCAGGGCTGCCTACATGTGAGTCTACGTGTTGGCTCACCAAGAGAGGCTGTATGAACTCTGGCACTAACCTGGAACTCAGAGTAATAAGCTGGCAGCCTGCCCAGGTTGTCTGCCCTAGAGAACATTGTTTGTGTGTGTGTCTGTGTATAA